CCCCAAAACCCCAAAACCCCTTCCCAAAAATAATGAGATTATGATAAACTTCAGATGATAGAATTAACAAATTAATGATAATATCAGATAATAATCCATTAATTTCATTAATGGGATTCAAATTGCAATTTCTTTTAATACTCCTCTTTCAGCTGCTTATCTAATGAATAGTTTCATCTTTTCATTCATCATTTGATGATTTCTATAAAGTTCCTAGCTAGCTTCTTCAAACTTAGCTGAGCTAATCCTGAGATTTTCATATTTATCTTTTATAATCTAGCACTCTCTTTCAAGATACTCGCTTTTCTTTTTATCTTGTTTAATTTATTTTATCTCATTTTTAAGTTGCTGATTTTCCTTTTTGGTCTAACTAGCATCATTTAGCTGCAATGTGGTCATATTTTCTTTGTCGAGGAGTTAATGCTCCATCTCCTTTACCTTTTCGATTAGTTGCTTATTCATTTCTTGGAATCGAGTCATTTGCTTCTTTTGATCTGTTATCAGACTCTCCTAATCTTTCAGCTTTTACTCCTGTTCTTTTTCCTTTTTCCTCTAGTTGAATTCTATCTTGGATTGCACAGACTACCTTTATAAAGATACTGATTGGTTCATTCTCTCATTGTTTATTTGCTCTATAGTCTTAGTTTTTTTCTCTAGCTCCAGCTAAAGTGAGGCTATCTTGTCGGTTTTAGCTTGATTTTCCTTTTCTAGAGTCTTGATTGTTCTCATACAGCCCATAAGCCTTAATTCCAAAGATTTATACTTTTCAATGTCGATTGTGCCTTAGTTTTAATTGCCATTACCACTAACAGACAGATTATGATTATGCTAGAGTGAGTCTCTGTTAGACGGTTAAGATATTGATTGCATATATCTTGAAGAATCTTTAGAGGGACTGATACTCTAAATTGATCTATTAGTTAGGCTTTGCTATTATTAGTCAAGAGAATTCTAAATTTTAATTGATTAGGTGTGATTATTAGGTGACGTTATCTTATTAATGTTAGGCTAAGGGTATCTTTGAGGTCTCGGAGATAAGCTCTGATTTGAAGAAGCAGACCTCGAAGGTTTATGGTAATTGTTGGATCTATTTGATGTGTAGGGGGAGACACTATCTCTCTTTGGAGTTAAACTTTTCTTGCTGCTAGACCCCATATGAATATTCAGTGGTGATACATTGACTTCATCTTGGAATCTTATCTTCCTCTAGACTGGCACTCCACTGCTATTTTAACTTGAAGTGCTGTTTTTCCTTTTTAATGGATTGTGTGAATTTTAAACGCTTTAGCTTTTTCTGGAGTCAGCCGTAGGTTATCTTGGAAGCATACTGGCTAAACCATTTGTTGAATTCAGATTAATAAATCCACCAGCACCAGGCTTGCCACTTTAAAGGTTTTTCAATTCTTCTTCCAACAATTTATTTTCCTCTTCTAGCTCTTTCAAAAATTAATCATCATCATCTGCTTCTTCACGCTCATGAGCTTCGTGGACCACTGTTTAACTTGATGATTTGGGAGTAACTCTAGATTGCGCTTCTTGAACGAGAATAGTTTAATTCTCTGGAAGGGGAATTTTATTGCCTTTACTTCTCTTGCCAGTGATACTACTTCTTCTGCCACCAATTGAATTCCCATCTGCATCTCTTTCCTCATCACTAGTCAAAGTAAATGAGCATTCACTTTCATTTTTATTGGTTCTTTCAGACTTGATATTAATTTAGTTAGATGGGGATTGTGATGAATTCGTTGAATTTTTCTTAATCATGTCTCTTAGGTTCTTGAGGTTCGGAACCTTTCTATTATTCTACTATGCACTTCTCATACTCTCTTTAGCCATGTCAAAAGGTTGATCCATTTTTATCAATTGAATTTTGAATTTAAAATTAAGTCTCAATTTAACTATTTTAATGATACTCTTATCTTCTTGTTAATAATATAAGGATTTAATTTATTCCGCGTACAATTATTAATTTAGATTACCAAAGATGCAAGAAAGTGAAATGCTTAACAATTCCAATGTCAACTCTAACTAGATGTACTAGAGTCCAGATAAAACCACTAAGAATCCCAATTTCCAGGAGTATTAGAGTCCTTACTCTGTGAGGCAACTCAAGAAACAAGAAATGGAGCTGGTAATGAGCTAGCCAAAGCCTGCAAAGGATAAACAGACGATGAAGTAATTCTTGAAGCTAATCAGCCATAATAATGAGGGTCCAAGTAGTCCAACTAGCTTAAATAAGTCTGCTTACTCATAGAACTCAGCCAGGAAATAACGAGTACATGGGCCATTATCTGTGAGTCAAATCATATCTTCAAGGATCAAATCTCCTAGGGCATCAGAAAAGTAAAGTGAGTATTAACAGCTGCTTGAGACTGAAAGACCTAAAAGGTCAGAACTAAGCATTGGTAACAAAAGTAATTATATCATATTCAAAGTCATCTATAGATTCTATTGACGAAGAAAAAGACAAATAGAAACTTGACCACTTAAAGCATAAGTTATAATCTGAGAAAGGATTTACCCAGGACGACATCCAAACAATTGATTAAAACATGATATTTTTCAAATGTGTGGCAGATATCAAGAAGCGTTAACAAGAGTAAAGAAGTAAAATGAACCCTGATAGGATAAAGAATGTCCAGTCTAAGATATCTTAAGCTAATTAGAACAGACTTAGCAGTAATTAAGGCTCAAGGTAGAAAAAGAATTTAAAAACCTTAAGTAACTAAAGACCAGGCCCCTAGATTATACTTGATGGGGACTTTGAAATGAATAATAGTCCGCATTAAGCAAGAGTAAACTCGAATCAGTTCTCAGATATCAATAGCGATGAAGAGTTGATGAGAGAAGAGATGAAAGACATAGGCATTGAGGATATCATTTAGCATGAATAAGATAACGAAGTTGACTAAGAGGAGGTTGATGATTTGCTTAGAGATACACTGACTGTAGCTGAGTTTGATAATTCCAGAGAACAGTCAGAGTTGAACAAGCTAAAAGATACCATTGAATCACAACATAACAACTAGAATAACTTACAATTATAAGACTCTGGTCAGAATCCCTAAAAAAGAAGAACTCCCTCAGTGGGAAATCTTCTCATGAGTTCATCACTGCAGAACGTAGTGGGAAACTTCGATGAGCAGTTTAATGTCTAATACATTGATGATGGCCAAGATGCCTTGGGCTCTAGTGGATTGAAAAAGAATTCAAGCCAAAGAAGACTTAGCTAGAATAACTCGAATTCTAATAATAATTCTAAAATTATGCCTTAATAAAGAGACCGATAGATCAGAAATAGATTAAGTATAGGCTAGAATATTGGTAATGAGCAGTCACTAAGCTATAACAAGACAATAATATCTAATATATCTCCAATGGGAAGAGGTTCTATAAGTCCTGAGAGACCACATTACCAAGAAGCCACTGAGTCATTCTTGAAAATGATGAGTCCAAAAATTGAAAAATCTCAATCAGGGTCAAACAATTAATCGTTCTCCAAGCCTCAGAAGAATTAAGTCAAACAAACTGGGTATCTGCAATCCAAAGCAGATTGGATAAGCAAATTGTAACCAATTAAAAACTAACAATAAAAGTGACGATTGTTTTGGCAGCAAGTCCATATTGATTATCTGCAGATTAATATTTGAGATTTGATGATAATTTTGATAAAATTTAAATTTGATTTCTTTATTTACTTATAATCTAAAGTTATGAAATAAAGCATTATAAAATATCTCATATTTGTCTTTGATGGGAGGTACTGAATTTTTTCTATCTGTTAATGAGATCATCTGAATCTCCAGCCTTACTTTCCTCGTCGATGTCTATTTGAAGTTGCTATTAGCTGTAATCTTCTTCATCGTCATCTCTAATTAGCACCAACTACTATTCTAATCTCTATCTATTTCCTTAGAGAACATCAAGATTCTGATCTTTAGCTTAGACATTTGTAGTTTTAATCTAATTATTCACCCTACTTGCTTAACTAGTTTTCTAAGGTTTTCCTTAGTCAATAAGAGAGCTTTGCATGTTGTTGATCTTCTTTTACTTCTCTCTTAGTAAAAATTCATAAAACTCTATCTCCTAGTCTCTATCTCTGATTTCCTGTCTCATTGATCTCAACATCTAGGTCTTTTCTTCCATCCTATCTTTTATCTTTTTCTATAAATCTTCATCCTATACACTCCTTTGATTAATATCTTTAGCCATGTCCTCAATGTACTTTTCCTTTTGCTCTAGCTCTCTCTTCATAACCGAAGTCTAATTCACAAGTTTGCACATCTCAATCTCGTTCTTCATAAACCTCGAATTTCTATTTACCAATTCCTTCAAAGATTCTATTAACTCATCATAAACGTCAACTTTTTCTCTTAAAGCAGCTTTGTATTTTTCATTCAGCTCCCCTATCTCCTCTGTTTATTCTGAGATTTACATTCCCATAGACATAGCTTTTTCTGCTAACCTTTCCATATCTTACTTATCCTTATTTATATTTTCTATCTATTAGTTTTTATCACTCAGCTCAGCAGCAAGAATAGCTATTCTCGATCTAAACTCTTTCATTTCATTTTCAGTAAGCACTCGTTCTGTCTCTTCTCTAACTTTCTCAAGCTTACCAAACCACTCTCTGTTTAAATTCATAATCTCTTACTCAATTTTCAATCTCTTTGCTTCAGCTTCTTGGAGATCTGCTTATTGGAAAAATGGATCAATATCCTCTGCCTCTAGTTAAGCCTTAAGAATCATTTCTCTTTCTGTTGCCAAGAATTCTAGTTAGCTTTCATACTTCTATGATTCGAGAATAAGTACATTAATTTCAGATTAAGCTGTTCCCAGCTCGACTGAAAGCTTTTTAATCTCTTCATTTGCTCTGATTCTTATCTATTCTAACTCTTTCAGCTTTTAATCATGCTGCCAGTTCATTTCATCTAAATCTGTCTTGTGCTTCTGAAATGTCTCTTAAAGTCCTTAAAGTTCCTAATCATTAACATTTACTTCATGCTATAAACTATCTGTGATCATTCTTTCTTTTTCAAGTTCTATCTTAACCCTATCTAAATCATTTTATGTGTCCTTGAGATCCTTTTCAGATTCACTAAGAAATTATTGATAGTTATTAGTAGTTTTTTAGAATTTCTCTTAGAGAACTTGCTCCATTCCATATGGCGTCACTTTTCCAGTAATCTTTTCAGCGTTATTGTGAAGTTGACTTAATTGATCCTCTAAGTCATCACTCAAAGTTTTCAGAGCTTACTTCTCATAATCATTCTTTTACTTCTTAAGTTCTTCTTCTTTTTAAATCAAGAACGATAAATTCTTGTTTTCAATCTGTTTATCAGCAACTTAATCTCTTATTCTTCTTAGTTCAATTTCCATTTAGGCTATTTCTTATCTCAATGATTACTTTTATGTATTCCCATCTTTGACTATTTTTTCGTATTCCTCGCTTTGCTTCTCAAATTACTCAATAGTTTATTGCTCATCTAACTCATTGACCTTGTAAGGAGTACCCTTTGCAATATGATCCTGAGCAAGTCCCATAATTCGTTTAAAATTATTTGAAATTTCCCTAAGTTTATTTTCCTTTTCTTGAGTAATCTTATCAGATTCCTAATTCAGTACTTTTGCTATATCTTGCTTGAGCTCGCTCATGTCAAATGTATAGTATTCATTCATAAGTTTTGAGAGTTCAAGCTCTTTTTACAAAATTATCTTGTCTTTTTCTCTAATAACATTCATTTTATTTTGTACAGTTTTAATTATATCACAACTTTATCTAAGCTAATTTAGCAATGGGGTTTTGGGGTTTTGGGGTTTTGGGG